ATTTCACTGCAATAAATTTTGTCACACGATTCAGCTAGCTCATCATTATTGGCTATGAGGAGCTGTCATTGATTTCTAGGATTGCTGGAAGTATGACCAAGCTTCAAGATGTAGCTAAAATCAAGATTTATCTGATATGTGTGCTTGATATTGAGCGGCAGACAGAAAGTGATTTGTAAAAGTTTTTCTTTTATAGCAGTTGGACTCTTTTAACATGTTTTTGTTGTGTTTGTTATTAGAGAATGGGGTAAGGCACACAAACAGTATCATTAGCTTTATTGATAAGATACAGGTTTTTTCCAACTCAATCTTCCAGCCTTTAGCATTGTCAGGATGTAACATCTTTTAAACAGGATCTTTTAAACAGGAAAGATGATCTGCTGAACAACAGCTTGATGATCTGACTGTTAAAGTTGCTTCTCTAAATAGATCTAGAAGGGAAGCCCAGCAACTTTTTTGGTTACACCTGATTTAGGATGCATATGCTAAGCTGCTTGTTGAAAAATAGGATGTGGGCTTCCTCATGCTGTTTTAATGGAACTGCTGTGGAGCTGTGCAAAAGGACAGTGCAGGTGACCCCCTAAACAACACTGCTGTTGTTCCAAATGTGTATGGGTCATTGTCAGGGTCATATGGTGGTACCACTCAACTGAAAGAGGTCTTTTACAGCACACAATGCCTGCAAGAGCAGCTGTGTCTTTTACTTCTATTCTCTCCCACAATTTACCATACCCTACCCCTTTTATTCCAGCTGCTAGACTACTGGCATCACAGGCACCAATAAGCTCAATATTAGTGGAGCCCTAGCACAATTAAATATCCTTATTAGAGACTAATACCTTTACAGAGTAACCTTTCCATTTTAGCTACTCCTGCACTGTTCTTGTGGGTTGTTTTGTTCTTCAGGACCCATGTGCAGAAGCTTGTGTTGCACAGGCAGTATTTCAAAACTAAAAACAAATACAGAGTGATAAAATGCAGCAGGATCACGACAGGTGACTTTGACAGATGATTTTATTCTAGTGTGATCCCTTGTGCTACAGGGTTTGATCACTAGGAGTGGTCACATAGGAAGAGTCACAGTGCAGATAACAGATAAGCGATTGGAAATCTGCATGGTTTATGAGGCCTCATATGCAATCCTGGGCTCAGAAAAAAAAAATTGAGATATAAGATCAGTTTTAACTGAGTAAGGCAACAATCACGTCTAAAAGCCTTTCCCCACTGAAGTGTCAGACACTCACTAGCCAAGCCTTCTAGTGAAATCAATCAGCCCATTTGAATTTTCCTGGGCAATCCTGATAGTTTTCTCTATCTAAATCCCCAAGTTATATTGTGGCCTGTGTTAATAGGACTGCTGGTCATGCATTGTACATGATGACATTGGAGTTCCTGCAACTGGCAGAGAGGCGAAGAGAAATCGCTTTGGGGAATGGTTGTGCAGCATGGCGGAAGCCTGCAGGGGCAAGTGAAATGGTAGTACTGCTTATTTCGCTACACTAGCAGGGCCGGATTTACTCTCCCTGCTGCCCCAGGGCCAGGTTTCGCAATGCGCCCTCCTCCCTGCCAACCCCCCAAACAATTTTTTATTGTTTTTTTTCTTTAAAAATTTTTATTTATCTAATTATTTACTTTTTTTTAGTTTTCATCATTTTTTATCTCATTATTGTTTATTTTTTATAATTATTTTCTAATAATTTGTTTCTTATTATTTTTTACTTTTTAATCACCTTTTTATTTTTTTATTTACTTAGTTCTTTTTGTTTTAATTTTTATTTCTTTAATAATGTTTTTAATCAATTGTTTTTCCACTTAACTTTATTGCTATCACACAGGAGCTAACAAGCCCCTGTGTGATAGCAATTGGAGGTGACAGGTTCTCTTTATTGACCCTGTCACCTCCAATACAGGAGTTCTAGCACAGTACTATGCTGGAACTCCTGTCACAGCTGAGAGGGGAAGACTGCTCTCCGCCCTCACTGTATATACGGAGCGGCAGGGTTAGTTTAAACCCTGCCGCTCTGCTCCCTGCATCGGCGGCAGGGACTCGGAACTGGAGAGAGACTTGACGGCAGGGAGAGGATGGAGCCCAGAGGAAGCCAGCGAGGTGCGGGGGAGGGGAGGATGTTCCGGGCATCGGGGGATTTCACACCGCTGCCGCCCCTCTGCGCCCTGCCGCCTATGCTATGAGACCAGTACTCTTTCTTCCCACTACAAGCCAACATTAGGGGTGTCTACATTGCTAAAGATGTATGTATCAACCAATCCAAACATACATGTTTTGGATCGTCTTCACAAGTCTGACTACCAGCTAATGTCTGGTGGTAGCTTCAAACTCCTGATACTACTTCTCTGTGACAAGTGGAGGGCTTCCTGGCTTCTCCACCAGTAGATTTACCTATTTATGCCATACATTTTTATATGTGGCACAACTGCCTGAACTTGGGTGGGAATATGAAGAGTTAATGTCTTTCCACCCACCTGACATAAGTATATAAGAAGAACAGGATGAGAAGGATGTGGTAAAGCATTCAATAGGGAACATGAGGTAGAAATAAGACATCTTGCGGTGTAACATACAACTCAGAACATAAGGTAAAAATAAAGACACCTTGTGGTACAACGTACAATGGGGAACATAAGGTAAAAATAAGATCTCTTGCGGTGCAGCATACAATGGGAAACATGAGATAAACGCGCTGAAGCGTATAATGGGAAACATAAGGTAGAGATAAGATACTTTAGTGCACTTTAGGTTCAAATGGAAAATGGTAGTGTTTGGCAGTGGATTCAAGCATGGAAATTTCTGTATTATTCTTTAGCTAGTAGTAAGTCACATTCAACTGCACTTAATCTATAATGTTAAAGATATTTCATAGTTTTCCCAAGCCACTTCTTCAATGCCAATTAGTATCAGGAAGATACCGCAGAATTTATAGCCACACAGGTAGCACAATTACCTTAATCCAATTAAGGTAAGGTGTAGGTTTGTTGTGTTCTGAATTGAAATCCATATGAGTTTTCCGTTTAGAGACTGATCCATGGTATATGTGTTATATATCCAGTGCTGAAGCAAGGTCAAAATTCAGATTTCTACAGTGTATATTTATATTCTTAGCAATACTAAACACAAGGATTTTATAAATTATATTTACCTATACCACTGAATCAGTACCTTTCTATGCAGTTGCTTTTTGCTGCGTTTTTGAGGATTGGACTGCAAACTATATATGCTTGAACAATCTTCAGCTACATCAGATGATTTCCTGAGGGAAGGACACCAGTGACAGTCTGCCACAACTTGCAAAATGCAAGTATATGTGGACTATACTAATAGATATAAGGACTCCATTCAATAAAATAAAAAATGTTGATCGGCAGGCTTTTTATGACAGAAGTGTAAGTCTCCTCTGCCATAAAAGCTTCTCGCCATTGAGCAGTTTTTTATTTCTGTACACTGGGCGCACATGCACAGCTCAGTGCACAGACCTGGCATGCCGAGATGAAGTAACTCCCTAGAGCAAGCGTGGAAGTTACATCATCAGGGCCTGGCCAATCAACCATCCGAATACTTGAAACCCAGTAGAAACCCGGGATGAAGATGTAAGCATGAGTGAGGGAGGAGCACAGCACTGGAGGAGATCAGTTTGGCTGGTAAGTCTGCTATAATGTGCTAGTATGCTCAGCATACTAGTAAAATAAGGCTAAAAGCTTCCCATGCAACTTTTTTAATTGTTTTACAATTTGGTTCCAAACGAGGTATTGGTTTTAACGTGTCCAAACTCTATCTAAAACCTAAAGGTATAGTCCACCTCTTCAAAAAAATAATACATGCCCACACATTAATGAAATAAAAATGAAATAAAAAATGTACATTTATTAATCACAGTTTGCATTTGAGCCTGCAAAGCTTTGCGAGCGCGATCAGTGGATCGCGAGAATTACCATTCTTAAGTTAGGTTCAGGCTACCCATTGGCTTGTAGATTTCTCTCATTCAGTCTGAGGGCTGAACAAGAGAAATTCACTTGCTTCCGCCTGCCATGATAAACAGCATGAATGGAAGATCTGCACTGCTAGATATTAGATACATACAGCTGCAACATGTGCGACTGTCTAAATACCTGAACAGTGATTGCATCTGATTGGATGCAGTTGCTGTTCAACTGACAATTTTCCACTCAGCTTCTTTGATTTTTCAATCAACACCAGGTGGTGCTGACAGGGCCACCGACGCCTCGAATTTCAGTAGATAATGCAGAAATTGGACAAAATTCGAGCCATGTATGGCTTAAAGTGGCATTAAAAAATATCCCCCTCCCCCACCCCCCAATGCTGGTGCAAAGACTTACCTTAAATGAAGACTCTTGATCCGATCATCTTCTTCCTGTAGTTTTCAGGAGTCCCTCCAGCGCCAGTCTACGATCCAGCGTTGACTCCTCTCTCTTCCTGGCACATTCCTGTCCCACAGAGTCTTTGCAGGTGCACACTGCCTCCATTGATGTACCTTGTGTCTCTCCTCGTCTCCTGGCCAAAGATCTGTATTGCGCATGCACCCATCCCATGATCCTTTGCGGCCACCCAAGATTTTTCACATCTTCAGATGAGAGCATGCGGCGGAGACACAGGTAAGTTTACACTTTTTTCATAACTGTTTTTGTTTTTGCATATGTCCTTTAAGTTATTTCCACATTTGTTTGAGAGCACTCAATCTGCCATAAGCACTATAGTTTTAAACATACCATGATACTTCTGTGCCACAGGCAGGTCTTTGAGGTTGCAGAAGCCTGCAATCTGACATGACAGTTTATTCAAGCAAAAATACAGACACAGATAAGTAGATTACTTCAATTTTCAGCTGGTGGCTGGTGGAGGAACTAGTGAAGTCTGTTCACAAAAATCTCACAGCTTGGAAAAATAGATTTTTGTAAAGGGAGACATTTAGAGAATGAAAATAGTAAATTGTGTTCTTCCTTTTCCTTCTAGCTGCTATCTTTTTCAGCATCTTTGCTGTCACTATCCAAAACTCAGCAGTCATTAACTGTTATTTGATGACAAATTACGAAGAGAAAGAAGACACTGAGACTGAACTGGAGGTTAGTGATGCCACCATGATTCATTTGTAAAAAATACAAAGCAACAAGGAAAATATCAACTCTCTCTGGCCTCAATGACAGATTCGTCCTGGGGAATTTTGTAAATGAGAACTCTGCACTGGCATTCCTGGGTCTGCACACCTGCAGCTCCAGGCATGCCGTCTCCCTGTTACATTTGTTAAAATCTATTGTATGTTATGGAGAATGCATGTCACTCTTATTCTGTGAACACAGGGCTTTAAAGGTTCCAATAAGACATATGTTGCTTAAAAGCAAATCATTTATTAAGTCCACAAAACAAATCATAAAAATTTCAATCAATGGTTGTACTTGGCTCTACACTTCCCAATTTTACAGGGGCACCTCCTTAGGCCATTACTGTGCGCCATACTTTGTACAAACATAAGATCTCAAAAACATCAGTTTCTTTCCCATAGAAAGTCTTTGTTTTCATCAGATAATGAATCAGAATTCATAAGATCACTTGAATCACCTGCTTTACAAAACAATATAATTTCAATCATTTGTATGATTTTACTGCTGCAGGTCTTTAGATCCTTGTATCACAATACAGACTTGAACTGTTTTCAAATCTCAAACTACACCTACAAAGCAGCCTCAACAGTGGAAGTCAATATATTTGAATTGGTAAGACTGAAGATAGAGCACAATATAAATGAGACAATATCATGTTCCTGGTTGTTGGAACAGAAGAATCGCTCTCACATCATAAAGGCTTCAAAGTGCAGGTAAGACAATTTTATTATAACTGACTTAAAGTGACCCAGTTACAAAATTAAAAAGTAGGAAAAGAGGTTGCTTTGTAAAAAATGAGATATTATAATCTCCTGTCCCAATTTTTAGTCTCTTCAAGAGTTAAGGTGAGAGAATCATCTTCATCTGATACACTTTTTGAAATGTGAGATTCCTGGTCCCCTGCTGTGCAGGTAGTTCCTCCCACCAGCCCCTACAAAACTGCACTTGTGGAAGGAACTAAATCTTGGCAGGGGTCATGAAACCCACAATCTGAGAACTGCGACAGATGAAGGCCCTGTAGCTTCACAAGACAGCGAACACTAGACGAAAGAACAGGTAAGTATATGTGTTCAAATGAGGGGATCCACCTTTTCAACTGTTTAAATTGGCAACAGGGTCACAATAAATGGTAATCATAAATTATAATAACACACTCAAGTAATTGAAAACCATATCCACCCAGAGCATAAACACCCACTCGCTTTTTATCTCTGTCAATTTCAGTTCCTCCCCTCTGTCTAGATCTTGGCTAATTGCCTTCAGTTCCAGCCCCAAACCCTGCAAAAACGGAACAGCTGCACAGAAATCTCACAGGAGCTGGGCCTAAGGAGTAGTAAGAATAAGCACACCCAGACCAAAGTGCATTTCAAGCAATAATATTACGAAATAGATTATCCAAAGGGGTATAGTAAGGATTTGCAAATGTCTTTTATACATCAACAAATGAGCAGAATGCTACATGGCTACATGCATATTGTCAAAGGCTTCTTTTATATGGAACAGCAATTCTACTTCAAACAGAATGCTTATGATAATATACCTTGTATACAATTAGTAAACCAGGTGGAGCAAAAGAAGAGGTCCCAGAAATGCCCTGACCCCTTTCTTAAGGTTGACGTATATATTGACATTTACAAATCATTGATATACTATTATGCATACTTGATTTCATAATTGAAACTCACTTTAGTTTGTGTTCATTTGTATTCATATATATTGTTAATATGGTATAGGCATTAGGAAGCCAAATAGGATGTAGAAATGTGTGTATTAAACATATTCATTGTTTATTGCAGTTAAAGTTGTATTATGGGTCTAAAGTGAGTAAGGCCCTTCCATGTGCACCTTGCTGTAAAGCTGGTGACAAATTGATGAGTGCGTTTGCCATTTGTTTTGCTTGACTGATTTGGTGCAGTGATGCATGGGGGGTCTCAGCTGCCTTGTGATGTGCGGGATCCCTTGTGCATCCCTGTGCCTTTAAGGGAGGTTGGGCTTCCTCCTGACAAACCTGCACCCAATTTGCTCTTTTGCCATATGTGCTCCAAGATGGAGACTCTCATAGTTTAGAGTTAGGACCGCACTATATAGAGGTGCCTTGGCACGGCTCTGCGGCTCTCACATTTTCTGCAGAAGACGTGTATCTAAACCTCTGTTTTTAACCTTAGCAGTGAGACAAGTTTTTTTGCATGCTGGCTTGTGAGTGTGCTGGGAAAACTTTTTGCTGTTTGTAAAGTGAGTAAGGGCAGGTACTGATGTGAAGGGTTTTAGCTTTTTGTAGACTGCTGCAGAATAAGACAGCTCTAGATAAATATGGTAACTATAAATAGTGAATTTACTGTTAAAGAACATGGGCTACTTTGACATTTTAATTCAGCACAGTCTCTGTTCTGTTAATTTAACTCTTCACATCTGCATGATAGCTTACCTCTCATCCTGAAAAATGTATGTTAGTAGAAGATATTTGTAACTTGCCCTATGTTTTGTGTTGACATCCTATAGATGTATGTTATCTTTCTATATCTAGATATAACTTAACATAAAATGTTATGCATGTTGATAGACTGATCACCAGAAAAAGTTATTGGTAATTTTTTTTTCTGCAGTACCGTACTAAGTTTGGATTTGGGTAGAGTGTCTGAAAAGCAAGCTGGAACATACAAGCTTCTGATACAATGTAAAAACATCAATTACACTATAGACTTTGAAGTCATAGTGGGAGGTAAAGTTATATCTGTTTAAGGGGAACCTATGAGGACAAAAATATGGAGATTCCAATGTTTACTCTTTAGAGGTTGGGGACTGTCATCTTGATTCTGCCTATAACAACTAATGTACTCCCATCTTACATATTTCTAGGTCAGTGATTTAATAAGCAGTCAGGGCAAAGTATGGTTGACAACCTTGAAGACTGAACTTCTTAGCCATACTTTCTGACTATCCATCATTTGGAACCAAATCCCTCTTTGCTCCTGAGTTGTCCCCCATTTTGTCTGATGTATCTAAAAAAAATGGTTCTATTTATCAAAAGTGTTATTTTGCACTAAAATCTATATCTTTTGTTTTAATTATTTTGTTTGCTATTTTGGAAAGCCGATATAAATTAAAAGTAATAGTGAAAAGAAGGCAATTGCCTTAGATTGTCTTTCTCTTCTGGGTGTAGGAAAGCATCTCATGGTTGGCTACGCTTCTGGCTGTGAGTGATAATAATAATAATAATAATACAGTCCCAGTCGCAGTAAAGAGTTTTGACCTTCTTTAGTACTTTTTTTTCTTCAGGGTTTTGCCAATTAAGGATAAGCAGAGACTGGTTACTGTTACCACATTACATTCGTCATCTAGAGATTTAAATATATTGCACACATTGCTTTAGGTAAGCCACGGAAGCCATATTTCACTGCAGAGGGAAAAGTGGTGAGATGTATATCAGAAGGATTCCCTGCTCCTGATGTCCGATGGGAGTTTGACACCCCATGCCATCACAGGTAAGGCATGTAAGCATATGTGCTAGAAATAAACGTTGTATATCTATCATAAGAAAATCTGTTGACAGGACATAGACATATTTTATAACACCATCAATACTGCAGTCAGATTGAACACTAAGATAAAGAATAACACCACTCTTACACATACATTTCATGAGCACTGCATTGCATTGGCTACTATAGTGACAGTGCTTGAATTTTCCCGTTGGCCAGTTAGGCTGTGGCTGGGGTGGCAGGTCCAAAAGTTCTGAGGTTTATGTGGCCTAAACTGTGATAGATTATACTTGACTAGCAGTTACAATCTCATGATTACAGCAGTCATTTTGTCTGTGAACAACAGAATTTTATATGTAAATCACGCATCACAACCTGACAAATTTGAAAAAAATGGAGGAAGTAATAAACCAAAAACCATTAAATAATTGGGTATGAAGGTGAACTTGCCTTTAAAGCTGAACTCCAGGAATTATCTTTTATGGATATTTACTTTTGTCCAGTTTGGCTCAAAGTAAGTATCCATATCTCATCTCTGGAAGGCTGCTGGGAATGCTAAAAATCAACTTATTAGACATCAATACATACAATCAGTGCTGGTCTCTTCCAGCAGTGGCTCCAGCAGCTTCTCCTCTAAACACTGAGCACAGGGAGCTGCTCTCTGGGCACCACTGCCATTCAGAGACCACCTTGCATTTTTTTCACTGAGTACAAGACATTCTTTGATTGAATGAGGTGGAGATCATGATATCAGCTGCCCCTCCTCTATACCCCCCAATCAAAAAACACCTTGTATTCACTGAAAAAAATATGAGGTGTTCTCTAAATGACAGCAATGCCCTGAGTGCAACACCCTGTACTCATTGTGCAGAGAGAAAGCCACTGCTGGCAGAGACCAACTGTCACTGTGTGTAGCTCTTTTTTTTTTTTATACAGAATAATATCAATAACTTACTTCTCTAGATCCCATCTTATAAATACATTATAAAACCATAAAAAGAAACAAAAACTGGACTTAGTGTATAGTTTCATTCATCATTTGATAATGAACAATGGCCTTTTAAAGACAGGGTTTTCTGTGAAATAGTCTGTCTATTGACATTGTCACCATACATTGTTATTTTTAGTAAAAATAGACCCATTCTACCCTCTAGTTCTTTCATGCTTTTTGCTGTTCTGGTTTTCGTTAATCCAGGTGTGAAGACAAAGGCTCATTGTCATTGCTCAAGACAGATTCCTACAGAATTATGCGAGTGCAGCACGAAGTGGAAGCCAAATGTCTCATGGGTCACAATGATACATGCTGTGCATCTAATAAATATGGTACAGAGTGTGCTCAACTACCCACAATAGGTAATAATAATCCATCAGGCTACATGCATATATGATAGAGCAGAGATGGGGCTGTGGGAACCAGACTTTGTTGTGCTTTCAATCCCTTAACTCTCGTGTAAACTGTATACTGTTTTATTGCATTTCATCTTTCCCCTCTACCTATATTTCATATTTCTAGCACCATACTGAACTTTTAGATGTGTCACATCTGACAAATTGATAGGCCACCCTAGACGTTAGAGGATGGTGAGATCTTACAGTTCACCAGGTTCCTGAACAGGAAAAGTTTCATTGTGAAACAATATGTGTGTAGCCTATGGACAGGACTAGTAAAGCATGCTTTATACTCTATCTTAGCAAGGAAAAATAGAAAAGATCATAGAAAGTTTTTCAACCTCCCTTCCCCCAACAAGCCTTGGCAGGTGGTGTCAATTAGATTGTCTCCAGATCTGGATTCATTAAAACATTTTTCACATTTAAATTTCTTCCTAAATGCTCTCAACTGTCTTCCTAAACCACATATTCCCAAACACGCCCAAGGTCTGTTTGAGATGCAGGGAGGTAAGGGGCATTTACTGACATATCTGGTGGAGTTGTCTCCTGATCTGGTCCTACTAGTCTGCCACGTACCTTAAGGAGAGCCTGAGAAGCCAAGGGCTGCCTCTCTTGCTGCTCCAGTTCAAACACCCCTGAGGAGTGAAACAGGTGCGTAAGGACACGGAATGGCATGGATGTCGGAGGGTGATTTAGATTCTGGAGGAACTGCGTGCAAGATGTGAGTGTCTTCCTGCAGGACGCATGTGCTGAACGCAGGATCCAGATAGCAGGGTCGAGACAAGCCAGGTGAGCAACAGTCTGGCAGAGCGGTACAGAATCAGCAGAAATCATGTGATCAGGAACAGGCCGGTTCGATAATGCAAGTAGCGTGGTACCAGACAATAGGCAGAAGAGTAGTCCAAACAGGCCGAGGTCAAAGTGGAAGCAGATGTTCAGGACTGGGATTACGAGCTGGGTCGGTAATGGGTGGTCAATCAGAAAGGCAGGTTCAGGAACGCAATAACAGGGAACAGCTGAAGATCAGTCAGCATTGAGGCCAGGGTGTCTCAGCCATAAATAGCTCATTTGGCGCCACCATTCAAAACAAGTATGTGCACACATCTACGTGCACACCATGGAGCATGTGCACGAACGTGCGCACACCTGCACAGAGGCACATGACCACGCAGAATTCTATGCCCAGAACTTTGCGCATGCCTGTGAAGTGAATGCTTACCTCTCCTGCCTCCCACAACATCAGAGAAATCACAAGCTGAAGGTTCTTCTGAAACTGAAAATGTTGATCTCCTCTTCTCCATGCAGCCCCCAGTTGTTTCTCCTGCTACCATGTCCTGTAGTGATGTAGGGGGTCAGTGGGAGGTACCACAGCACACTGCAGGGAAACAGTGTGCAATCACTTTGTTGCTGGCAAGAGGGCTTTCATCTTGATATCCAAATGTAGCATGACCTACAATAACAGCATGCTTTGCACTTTTACCTCTTGAATTCTGCAATTAACTTTTTACATGTAGTGAAGCAATCAGGAATATAAACGTTCACTTTTCTTTTTTTTTTATGTATTTCTTTTCAAGATCTTACTTTAGGAGAAAGCCAGTCAGAAATTTTTGTTAAATCTGGAGATCCCCTTGTCATTCGGTGCTGGGCTAACTATCAATCGTTTATGTATAAGATTAGCGGTTCGGAAAGCCAAGCTCAGGTAAGCTTTTTTTAAAAGTAAGCATCCAATATATTAACAAGATTGGATTTCGTAGGCATCTGTTTTATTTAGGATTAATTGAATGATGCAATAAGCCAAAGGAAAAGGTAGTGGATTTTCAGTAAGAGATTATATTGACTTAGGTCAATGTCACACTTGCAATCCTGTTGGTAGCGATAACTCACCAGCAACAGAATTGCTAAAAAGTTCAGTGAAAATACTTGTTTCCACAGGTTGCACTGTGCTTAATACATCAGGTTTTTTTTTTGGAAAAAAAATTGTAAATATTGTAATTATACAGTATTCGTTTCGCCCCCCTCCCCCCCCACCCCCCCTCT